TAGAACTAACTTGGTATAAATTAGAACTAACGCGGTATAAATTAGAACTAATGTGGTATAAATTAGAACTAACTTAGTATAAAATAGAACTAACTTGGTATAAAATAGAACTAACTTAGTATAAAAATAAAACTAACTCATGTTAGTTCTAATCTACACAGTTAGTTCTATTCTGTAGCGTGTTAGTTCTAATATACACAATGTTAGTTCTATTCTATAGAGTGTTAGTTCTAATCTGCACAATGTTAGTTCTATTCTGTAGCGTGTTAGTTCTAATCTGCACATTGTTAGTTCTATTCTGTAGCGTGTTAGTTCTAATCTGCACAGTGTTAGTTCTATTCTGTAGCGTGTTAGAACTAACTTGGTATAAAATAGAACTAACATTGTATAATTAGAACTAACTTAGTATAAATTAGAACTAATGTGTTATAAATTAGAACTAACGTGGTTAAAATTAGAACTAATTTGTTATAAATTAGAACTAACTTGTTATAAATTAGTACTAATATGGTTAAAATTAAAACTAACGTGGTATAAAATAGAACTAACTTGATATAAAATAGAACTAACATTGTATAAATTAGAACTAACTTTGTATAAATTAGAACTAACATGGTATAAATTAGAACTAACGTGGTTAAAATTAGAACTAATTTGTTATAAATTAGAACTAACTTGTTATAAATTAGAACGGATATGGTTAAAATTAGAACTAACGTGGTATAAAATAGAACTAACTTGGTATAAATTAGAACTAATGTGGTATAAAATGTTAGTTCTAATTTGTTATAAATTAGAACTAACTTGTTATAAATTAGAACTAATATGGTTAGTTCTAATTTGTTATAAAATGTTAGTTATAATTTGTTAGTTCTAATTTGTTATAAATTAGAACTAACTTGTTATAAATTAGAACTAATATGGTTAAAATTTGAACTAACATGGTATAAAAAATAGAACTATCTTGGTATAAATTAGAACTAACGCGGTATATATTAGAACTAATGTGGTATAAATTAGAACTAACTTGGTATAAAATAGAACTAACTTGGTATAAAATAAAACTAACTTAGTATAAAAATAGAACTAACTCATGTTAGTTCTAATCTACACAGTTAGTTCTATTCTGTAGCGTGTTAGTTCTAATCTACACAGTGTTAGTTCTATTCTGTAGAGTGTTAGTTCTAATCTGCACAATGTTAGTTCTATTCTGTAGCGTGTTAGTTCTAATCTGCACAGTCTTAGTTCTATTCTGTAGCGTGTTAGTTCTAATCTGCACAATGTTAGTTCTATTCTGTAGCGTGTTAGAACTAACTTGGTATAAAATAGAACTAACATTGTATAAATTAGAACTAACTTAGTATAAATTAGAACTAACGTAGTATAAATTAGAACTAACATGGTTAAAATTAGAACTAATTTGTTATAAATTAGAACTAACTTGTTATAAATTAGAACTAATATGGTTAAAATTAGAACTAACGTGGTATAAAATAGAACTAACTTAGTATAAAATAGAACTAACTTTGTATAAATTAGAACTAACGTGGTATAAATTAGAACTAACGTGGTTAAAATTAGAACTAATTTATTATAAATTAGAACTAACTTATTATAAATTAGAACTAACTTATTATAAATTAGAACTAACGTGGTATAAAATAGAAATAACTTGGTATAAATTAGAACTAACGCGGTATAAAATGTTAGTTCTAATTTGTTATAAATTAGAACTAACTTGTTATAAATTAGAACTAATATGGTTAGTTCTAATTTGTTATAAAATGTTAGTTCTAATTTGTTAGTTCTAATTTGTTAGAATGAGAGCATTTGTAGTACGAAATCCAAGCGAAGATAAGAATACCAACATCAAATTTTAGCATCAAATTCCTGCAAGTTAAGGCATTCAACATTTCTTCAGGGAGAATACTCCATGACAAAACCCAAGCAAAGATAAGAATGCCAACATCAAATTTATCAAAAAAAGCTTCACCATCTCCTTCCTCAGCTCCAGCACTAAGATCAGCTCTTAAAATTTCAAACCCAACAGAAATCTCTTCGCCATTTTGACTAACAATCTCCTTAACAAGCAGTGGCTTCTCATCAAATTCCAAAAAAAAGAGTGGCCTTGTGTCTGCAGCCCCTTCATTTTCATTTTTCTTGGGCATCATGCACTCTTTTCTCTTGGTCATCCTCCTCCGGCCTACCATACTATAGGGTTCAAAAGTGACAGGCGCAGCGGCGAACTCCGGCATAGTCGAGGGCGAGACAGGGAGCGACGACGAGCTACCACGACGAGGTCGGGCGGAGGAGAGGAGGGGAGGCGACGACGAACTCGGGGGAGACTTGGGAGCCTGGGGGGAGGTGGCGACGGCGAGGAGGGCGAGGGCGATGAGCTTGAGAAAGCCCTTGTTTTTAAAGAGAGAGGGGGGGGGAGAGAGAGAGAGAGAGAGAGAACTGGGTTTGAAGGATTGAGGAGAGGGGATAAGGTTATTTTGGGGATTTTAGCTTAGCTGGCATGTAATAATTATTAAAAAGGGGCTGCAACATAAAATATCACACTTCAAGGGGCTGAACCACATGGGGGAAACTAGGAGGGGCTGCAGCACATGAAGTTTCTGTTTTTGGGGCCTGGACACATTTTTCCCTAAATATAGCAGTTGAGTACAAAAATAAATAGTTACACTTTGACAGCCTGAAGTCTTGCCTTTTTAAACTTTGAACATGAAACTTTATTTTGACAACTTGATGCCCCAAACTTTTTTTTTGGTATGATAATATTTAGTTACTCCATCTATTTTATTTTCAAACTATAGCTTTTTTGAATTGAGTATGTAATCAAAACTCAATTTAATCATGTCCTATTTAAACTTTTAAGTTTTAAAAATTAGGTAGCAATAAATGAAAAGATTTAGAATGAAAAATATAATTAAAAATATAAAAAATATAAATATAAAATAAATTTTTTTGGTATGAAGGAAATCTGGATTAACAATTTCTAGTAGAAAAATATTTTCATAGATATTATCAAATATGTATAAGAAAATTGGAAAATTCTTTTCAAATTATTTACAATCAGATAATAATCATAGCTTTTGAATTGAGTTAGTTATCAAAACTCCAGTTAATCATGTCCTATTTAAAGTTTTAAGTTTTAAAAATCACATAGCAATAATTAAGAATATTTAAACCAAAAAATATATTAAATTTTTTAAAAAGATTTAGATCAAAAATATAACTTTAAAACACAAAAATATAAAATATAAAATAATCGATGAATACAATACCTAAAATTTTGATGGTTTAATCAGATAATAATAGTTTTAATGTAAATAAAATTTGAAAATTATTTATAATCAAAAGAAAAGAAAAATTCATGCGACACATCTGGAGTAATTTCACTCAAATTTAAAAATTATTAAAAACAAAATTAAAGAGAATGATACTTTCAATATGAGTTCAAATAAAAAATATTAGTTTAAAAAAACAAAATTATGATATAATAATAAAATAAAATCACAAAAACATACATGTGTAATTTACTATTTCGCTGTCTTTTTTATCTCGAATTAGAGCATATTTATTTAGATAACCATAATTGAAATCAAATAGAACTTTAAAAATAAATAATAGTATAATCAAAGCAATTTCAAAGGCATTACCTGGAATTTAAAAAAATCTTTAAGCTTGAATTCAAGGTTATTTATCAGATAACTACAATTTAAATCCAAAGGAAAACAAATAATGATGCAACCAAACTTGAATAATTTCAACAAAATTATCGCTAAAATCCTACTTCTGTATATTACAATATCTTGCACAAAGAGATTAAGCAGAGGTTAAATAAGATTCGTTAGCAGCGAAAAAAATGTGGTAAACAATTATTTTTATAGATATTATTAAATATTATATTTTATATTATTATGGAAGGAAATCGGGATTAAAAATTCTAGTAGAAAAATATTTTCATAGATATTATCAAATATGTATAAGAAAATTGGAAAATTCTTTTCAAATAATAGCAATAAAATTAAGAGAGATTTTTTGAGATTGTCAAAGTAACAAAAATTGTATAGATTGTTAATAGATTTCGTTGTTACAATTGTTATTATTTGTATTTATGGTGGGTAATTTTGTGGGATTTAAAATTTATTAAGGAGATGAGTGGATAAAATTAAAGACAGGTGGTAATTAAATTAGAGAACATGGATGTCGATGTGTCAATCTCTGAGAAGTTTTGAGGAGAAGAGTTTGCCTTAAGGTATACACATAGTAACAATTACCAAAGCTTGAAGAAAGACTTTAGAATTGCATAATTAATTGATGGAACTTGAATTTAGCCCTCTACTTTGACGGGTTCACTTGAGAATATTACAATCGCGTGTTTTGTACTTCCGGGTGTTGTTTGGCAACAAGCTAAAGAAAGGGTTACGAAGAGTAAGTCATTCATCTTTCAACCGAAAAAAACATAACACATGAAATAAAATGAACCAATTCATGTTAATTTGCCAAACAAAGAGGTTGCAAAAAGATTAAGATAAACCCTCTATCAAAGTAGGCTTATAATTCACTTTCGACGGATTAAGAGATATCTTTATCTTCAAAGAAGATAAAGATAAATATTAAACAAAATTCACTTTAATTAAATGGTTTAACTAGGTTAAAACTCCTCTAAAAATCCCTCCTTCGTATACTCGTGCGGAAGTGGGGGTCCGTTTGAATATCTGCAAATCATGCAAAAGCATCGAGCTGTAGTACGCAAAAATATAAATTGAATGGGTATATAGGCAAAATTACCTTCTGTCTGCTTCCGACGTGGCAAGCCTTGTCAGTGTGGAGCTTCGGTCGTCGAGCCCACGGGATGTGATGTAACGGAATCCGTACTTCCCGCTAACAGACTGCTTACCTGATGACCGCCAATTTTCTACGGAGAGAAAATCAAAAGCAAAAGCAAAAGAAAACAAAAAACAAAAGAAAAAGTAGAGAGAGAGAAAGAGAGAGAGAGAGAGTGACCCTTCAAATGCCCCACCCACTTCCTTCTCTCTCTGAAACCCTCTCAATTGAGAACAAGATTTCTCTTTTTCTTTTTTTGATGGCGACATTGCTTTTTCTTTTTTTTTAATGCTCTCTCTCGCTCTCCACTTCATAAAGTGAACTGTAGATGAAGATGAACAAACGCCAAGGGATCGGATCCGAAACCCTAGTTTCTCGTTCTAAATCCGTCATAGCTTGGTAATTTTCAGCCCCGATTTCGAAATTCTAGATTAAAATTAGGAGAATGAGATCTTAGTTTGATTTTGTGATGTGGTTGCAATTTTATTGATTTTGTGAGGAATTTAGCGCCTATTGTTGGGAAAATAAAGTGAAATTTGTTATGATGTTGGAATTGAGATCTCAGTCTAATTCTCTAGATTATTAACTGAAAAATGTTAGCTTTAACTTTCTATGATCTTGTGAATTCGTCCTGACTTGATCTCTTGTTGCTAGATGATTTAAGGAAATTGCTCTGGTAATTTCTCTCCTTAATTTTAAGCTTTTTAATTTGTTGTTTGTTCAAATCCCAGCATCTCGATATTGATTAAAGAGTATTTATGGAAAATGTTCTTGTCTAGTGGCTGTTGTTGGATTTTCGAAATATTCCTCAGAGTTTCACAGTCAAGAGCCTCATTTCTTAGTGGTGATGGATCACTGTGCTATTGTGTGTTTTATGATTATTACTTTTCTGTCCAGATAAAAGGTCATTATACCCATTTATGTGACAATCATCTTTATGTTGTTATGACAGATACACTTCCCATTTATGTTAACAGGATCTTGTGGAGATACAGAACCTGCATTTAGCGTTGAGATCTAGCGTTATATCAGTTGAATGGGCCAGCATTCTGCTATACATACTGTTAAATTCCCAAATAAAACATAAGGGTTTTCCCCCTTGTCTTTCAAATTGTCTTATAGAAGTAAACATGGGGGCAAAATGCTGCATGCCTGTTAGGGATGATATGCCCATGGTTTTGAGGAAGAAAGATAGAGTCCCCCATGAGCTTTATTCGCGGAGAAGTAGTAGATGCTCACCTTCATGGAGCTTCAGATGTGACAACCGAACACATATAGAGGATATAGTGGACAACCCTTCTTGGCTTTCTCATGAAAGTGGTGGTAGTGCTGTCTCAGAATTTATTAGTACATGCGATGGAGAAATTGAAGGTCTTTCAGATGGGAGCAGTTCATCCAATACTCTTCAGTTGCCCAAGTTGCAGAAGCTCCCTAATGAGTTGAACATAAAGGGGAACTCTCAAACTGGTCTTGCAGGTAAAGTTATTTTCGCAACATCCAACCTATCTCATGCCATTAATTTTTTAGTACGTTTCATTATTGAGGAAGTGCGTCCTTCCGCTAAGTATATGCATGAAATGTTTGATATTCATCTTTTGAACTATACGTTGGCCTGTAATTGCGTGTTCTTTTTCTGTTTTGCTTTCTCTAATTCTTTGTTGTGTTTTGCATGTCCACCATGTTTATTATTAATTTATTGATCAATATTTAATCATTTTCTTGGATGAATTTTATATTTATATCTATGGTGAAACTATGGTGGAATAACTGATTCCAGGTTATCGTTGTGGATAATAGATAGACTTGCTTGTCCACGTAGGAGCTTTCTTGAACCTAGTGCGGCTTTTATAGCATGCATATGGTAATAATGTGAAATGTTACTTGGGCATGGGAAACAAGTGTCAAATGTCCTGTTTTAAGGTGTCCGATGCTTCAACATCTAAATAGTAAGACACGTGACATGAATATATAATGGTATGTGTGGTGAAAGATTGCTAACTGATACTTAGAGGTGAAGCAAACTCCATTTAGCATTAGTTATTTATACACTACATGACATTGACATAGTTAAGGAAAGCAGTCACATGTTTGGAAAAACATGGGTGTAATATGACATTTCTTTCTATTCTTTCCTTTGAATCCCTTCTAGAGTCCTCAAATGCCTTTCTGCATTCTTTAGATACAATTATACAATTTTCATTTCTCTTAATTGCATGAAATTGTCCATGTCCCTAGGACACAATTCAAGTGCTTGTATCATGTGCAAGGGATTGACACCATAAAATCTTGTAAAATGCAGTGTCCTGGTGACACTTGTAACACATATCAAACTTTGGTTTGGTTATATGTTAGGAATGAGCAAAATTTATTCACTTGTGTTTTAGATGTTTCCTATTAAGCATAAGCTGACCATTAACTTTTTATGAAATCAGGTGTGTATTCTATTGGATTTAAGGTCTTGTATTTTGATTGAGAGGGAATCTCCCTCGTAGTTGTAGCTTGTTTTTTCCACCGCTACTGACAATTACCCACAGCTAAGGAAAATAGAGTTCCAAGAATCTGACTAGGGAGATTCTTTCTCAATGTTTGTTGTTTGTGAATCTGAGCAGAATTAGCAGGCTGAACCTTGGCTAGAGTAGTGATTTCATGCTGTTCTCACCAACAATGTTTTTATGTGACCTTACAATTGTTTAGCCAGAGAGCAGGTTTTGGCAGTATCAGTATTAATCAGTATGAAACTCTTCCTCAATTTCTTTATCAAAGCAATGTTCTTTATTAGGAGGATAAATATCTTTGATAAGTGGATAGTGGACAATAGATATTTTTTCCTTACTAGGAGATTGATATTTTAACATGAAAAAGTTTTTTAAGTTTATCTGGAAAGAGCTTGATCTTACAAACTTTGTTAATAAGTATTGGAAATTTACATTAACCAGTGAAAGAGAAGAACTAGAGTGATGGGAAACTAAGAACGACAAGGTGGAACTTCAGGAGGAGAGAACTCGACACATATCAATGACTCAATGACGAAAGAAGTGTTTTAAGGTTAGACAAGTCAACATGCGAAGGTTGCGAGGTTTTACCCATAGGGAGATTGATCTTGCAAAATATTTTGATGGTATTGGAGCTTTGAATAAAAGTGGAAAGAAGAACTAGAGTGAGCAGGAAACTTTTGTGAACTAGATGGACTTAAGAAAGAGACAACATGATACATTTTAAGGATAGAGTACTGTGAGGAGAAATGTTGGAGTGTTGATGATGATTCAAAATCATATTGAAAAATACAACACTGCCTGTTCTTCTATCATCTTATCTATAGGCTAATGCTTAAACTAGTCACGTGATTATGAAACCTCACTACAAGCAGACAAATAGGCAACTACTCGTCTACTTGATGAAACCTGTATCAATCATCCTAACCTGAATCATACAAATTGTCCTATCCAGATCATCTATCACATGTGAGCCTCTAGTTAACAGGTGTACAAGAATTTTTGTTAAAACTTACTGTTGAATTCAATCATGCCCGTTGCTGAAAACTAGTTGTCAAGAGTTTCAGTTCATGCGCTTAACTTATACATTAGCATGCCTTATGTCATTCCTTTTTCTGTACAGTATATATTCAGTACAAGTGTGATCTTCACGCCAAAAAATATAATCGTAAGATTAATTATTTGATGTGCATAATTAGTTTGGTTCAGTAAAATAGAAATCTGCTTTTGTAACCTTTATTTAGTTATTTATTTCATGGAGCAGGTTAAGTTTCTTTTACTTTGCAGTAACTAAGGGGAGCAGTTATGTTTTTACTCTTTTTAGTTTTCATTCACCTACTTTATACTATTTCTGTTTTTAGGTACTAATATTGCTATGCACAAAACAGATCTTTCCCCAACAAAGGATACATCACATGAGGTGAGTTGGAGTCTTTTGAGAATCTTTTGTTGTTCCAACTTCGCATGCTCATTTTCAATTCTCTCCAATTCTAAAAATGTATAGGAATCAGAGATCAGAGAGTCCTCGAGCCCTGCAAATGCTTCAGAACCAAAACAATCCTCTACAGCCCATACAGCTTCTGTACCAAACCTTAGGTTTTGCTCCCCACCATCTAATCCATCATCACCACACCCTTTTCCAGGTCACAGATTCTCTCCACAAATCTCTGAAGGCCAGGTTCTGGCATCTGATAGCTGGATCATGCAGTCATTCTCTCAGCTTTATCAAAGCGACAACAGAGCAAGTACTCACTTATCCTCATCTACCTCCAATCTACAGACTTGCTGCTTGTGCTCAAAGCTAGTAACAGAGAGGGCCACATGGAAGGGAAATGAGATCACCGTGGCTGCTGTTCTTGTTTGTGGGCATGTCTTTCATGCCGAGTGCTTGGAAACTGTGACACCTGAGGCTTCAAAATTCGATCCAAGTTGTCCTACTTGCTTTCATGGAGAGAACTCTTCAGGAAATGCATTAATAACTTGTTCTAAGTCTAGGAATAAGATTTCGAGGGGAGCTGTAGCTGATATCAATGGTGATGGAAAGCTCGTTATGAAAGATCTGAAATTGGGAGCTAGCATCAGTGTGAAGAATGCCTTAGGCTGGTCATTCTTGAGAAAGCATTTAGCGTTTGGGTCTCGATCTATAAAACACTCATCAAAGAGTGGATCCTTTGTCAGATATCGGTAGGAGGAGTTGAATGAGGTGAAGAAACTGACCTTTTTGCTACATTGGTTGTTTCTATTTGAAATTCTTTGTTTAACTTGTATCTTAATCTTCTTTACTCCAGTTTTACTATTAAGTATTGGCCTACTTCATAATTGATTAATTGGAAGGGGAGCATAATCCCTTTACATATATATGTCACGTTTTATAACTCCAGCTTCACGTTAATTGTTACTGTCACCTGCAGTAACCGAGGGGAGCATAATCCATTGATGACTGTTCCAAACAATTATTCTCTTTGATTTACCTTGAAGTTTACCTGAGTTCGGGAAATTACAAATAAGGTGGCTTGTTATTCACCGGAACAGTTATCAATAGAACTGGCAAGATTTTGATACACGGGAAAATCTTATATATTCGAGCTCCAAACTTTGGATTCTCATTTTAGTCCATTTTGCACTTATTATGTGAAAGGAGGGCATAACATTTGTGTCAAGCCGTGGATTCTTAAAATATGCATGGCTTAATTAATACCCTATATTTTCCCCTGCTTTGTACTTATACACCCTCATTTGTTTTTGGCAACACTTAAATATCCTAAAATTTTTAAACCTTGCACTTATATACTCTCATTAGCACTTTTATACCTAAAGTTTTAAAAACATGCACTTAAATATCCTTTAATTTTAAAACTTGACTTAAACACTCTTGGTTATGCAAACTTGAGAGTATTTAAATGCAAGTTTTAAAAACTTTAGGGTTTAAGTGCTAATTTTTAAACACTTTAGGGTATTTAAGTGAAAGTTTTTGAAATTTTAGGGTATATAAGTTCTCTCAAAACAAATAAGACTATCAAATAAGACTATTGTTCTAGATAGTTCTGGTCTTCATCCTGCACCTCCTATTTTTAGATTCGAAAGAAGTTGGCTGCAGAATCCAAATTTCATTCCTTTCATTACTAGTTGCTGGAACTCTTTCAGGTGTCATGGAAGTCCTGTAGATGTTTTCATTTCAAAACTCAATCTTATCAAAAGAAGAATAAAATGGTGGAAAAAAAATTGTCTTGGTTCTATTGCTTCTAGGAAAGATGAGCTTCTATCTAAAATCAACTCTCTTGATCTGTTGGAGGAAAAAAGGCCTTTAACTGATTCAGAATTCCATGATAGGAAGTCTCTTCAATCCTCCTTCTCTTCTATTCTTCTAGAAGAAGAAACTTATTGGCATCAGAGATCGAGAATTCAATGGTTGAAGGAGGGTGATGCAAATACAGCTTTTTTCCATAAAACTGCTACTTTCCATAGGAATGCAAACTTCATTTCTTCCATTAATCATCAAGGAAAAGATCTGTCAAATGAAAAAGATATCTCCAATGCTTTTTGTGAATACTTCTTATCAATTTTTGGTAGAGATTCAAATTCTACCATAAGTATGAACTGGTCTCAGTTATATCCTCATGAAGATGTTAATCTTACCTCCTTAGAAGACACCTTCTCAGAAGATGAAATCAAAAAAGCAGTGTTTGGTATGAATGCCAACAAAGCTCTAGGCCCTGATGGTTTTTCTATGGCTTTTTACCAGACTTTTTGGGATGTTATTAAGTATGATTTGATAAATTTGATGACTTTTCTCCAACAAAATCCTTCTAGCTTATGTAGGGTGAATAAAGTCTTCATCACTCTCATTCCCAAAATCAGAGATAGTGTTCTAGTGAAGGATTTCAGGCCAATCAGTCTTATAAATTGCATTTTCAAAATTTTTTCTAAGGTGATTGCTAACAGACTGGCTCCTCTTCTTCCTAATTTAGTTTCTCACACTCAATCAGCCTTTCAGTCAGGAAAATCAACTCTAGATTCCATTGTCATGGCTAATGAGATGATTCATTTTTGTTCTAAAAGGAAAAGTGAAGTTGCCATGCTAAAGCTTAAAGCTTGATTTCACCAAAGCTTTTAATTCTATCAACTGGAATTTTCTAATTAGCTTACTCAAAGCTAGAGGGTTTGGAATTAAGTGGTGCACATGGATTTATCATATTATATCTTCTTCTCAGTGTTCTATTAAAGTTAATGGTTTACCTTCAAAATTCTTTTCTTGCAAGAGGGGTCTTAAACAAGGAGATCCTTTATCTCCAATGCTTTTCAATATAGCAGTGGATGTTTTACAAAAGATGATTCATAACAATGTCGAAGATGGAATTTTATCAAATCTTGGTATTAAGCCACCTCTCAATCAGTTAAGAATCCTATAATTTGCAGATGATACTCTTCTTTTTGTTAAGAGCTCTTCAAAGGACATTTCTGTCCTGAAAATGATTCTTTATTTTTTTGAGGATGTCTCAGGATTGGCAACAAATTATTCCAAATCTTCCCTTGTTTATTTTGGAAAAATAGTTATGAAGAAGCATCTCTTATCTAATTCCCTTGGTTGCAAAGCAGACTCTCTTCCTATTAAATATTTAGGTATGCCTCTGAAATATGGAAAGTTGAAGAAATCTGATTGGCAACCTATCTTTGACAATTTTCATAAGAAGCTTGCATCTTGGAAGAGGAATTCTTTATCATATGGAGGAAAATTAGTCCTTCTAAACTCAGTGCTTACTTCTATTCCTTTATACTTCATGTCGTTCTACAGACTTCCAAACTGGGTCATCAAAAGTATTGATAAAATTAGGAAGGGTTTCTTATGGAAGGGAGCTGAGAGAGCTAGTGGTTTCAATTGCCTAGTTAACTGGAAAAAAGTATGTTTAAGCAAATTAGAGGGTGGACTAGGAGTAAAGGACATATGTGTTTTCAACAATGCTCTGCTTTCAAAATGGTTATGGAAATGCCTAGATCCACATTCATATACTGGAAGTTTTCTTCGCCAACTGTATTGCAACAGAGGTTTATCCTTTCAAATGATTCATTCATCGACATCATTTTCATCATTCTGGAATGCCATAATATCTCTTAAAGATGAATTTCTTCATAATATTTCTTGGACTCTTGGTGAAGGTGATAAAATTCGCTTTTGGGAAGATAAGTGGACAGGTTCAAACACTCTGGCAAGCCTCTACCCTTCTCTTTATAATCTAGCTTTCTCTTCAAATGTTTCTACCTGCAGTCAAGCTCTTCTGACAGATTCTATTTGGCATTGGAGACCTCTTTTGCGGAGATGTATTTCTCTTTGTTCTCAATCTGAAAAAACTGATCTCTTGAACTTTTTGAGAAATTTTCATATTTGTCACCAACCTGACAATCCTGTTTGGTTGCTTTCTAAATCTGGTATTTTCACAGTGAAATCCTTCTACCAGTTCCTCATCCAGAGAGGCTCCTTATCACCTCATTTTAAAGTTATATGGAAGAACTCAATCCCATCTAAAATCAATTTCTTTATCTGGCTATTATGCAATAACAAACTTCACACAAAGGATAATCTCTTGTTAAAAGGATGGACAGGCGATCCAACATGTATCTTTTGTGGCTTTCATCAGGAAAACAGGGATCACTTATTTTTCTCCTGCTCTTTATCTGCACAAGTTTGGTCACATTTTAAGAATTACTATCTCCCTTTCCCATGGCCATCATCTTTTGAAGATCTTCTATTAACTGTTAATAAGCTTCATGGTAGAGCTGGTTACATCTGGCACAGCTTTTTTTCATATATCTGCTGGAACATTTTGATCAGTAGGAATAAATCAATTTTTGACAAAACTACTTTTTCTTACAAGAAGATTATTGATCAGTCGGTTTATGGCTTATATGATTGGTCAGATAATGAAAGAGGTGTTGCGGCAAAGAAACTCTCTGCAAGATTTGAAGATTTTCCTCTCTCTCGAGCAAGTGTCTGAAGATGGAGGACTTTTGATTCATCTTTTGTATAGTTTTTGTTGTGTATATAACTGTTCTTTATCTTTCATATGTTGACTATAGAAAATTAAAATTCTACTATGCACATGTATGGCTGGCTTTGGTTCATCCTTAAATCTGTGTCAACGGTGAATGACGGCAAAGCCCTCTCTTCATCTTCATGGATCTTTGGATGAAGAAAGTTATACATCACTACTAGTAGAATTTTTATTTTCTATTTTCCAACATTTTGGACACAGTTCGTGTCTTACTTTTGTAACTAAACAATTTTTGGATTCTTGATATTTTAATGAACGGGGTTCTACCCCTGTTTTTCGATCAAAAAAAAAAAAATACTCCCATTAAAAGCACGAGTTCGGGAAAATCTTTCTATGGTCAGTATTATCCTTAACTTTTTTGAATATTACATTGTTATCATAATTTATTCTAATTTTAATCATATCTTATCTAATTTCACATGAACTATCTATAGGTCAACAATTTAAAAAAAGTTATTTTGAATATTTCACTTAAATCTTAATCTATCCAAATACTAATTATATCCTATATTAACTCTATATAAACCCATAGCTCAAAAAATATAGAAAAAATAAGATTAAAAAATTATACGTAGATAACATATTATAATACATGAAGTATTATAAAAAACCCCAAAAGTTTTAAAAATTGCATATAATAGCCTTAAATTTTTAAAATTACACAAAATACATTGACTTTTTAAAACTTAAAAAAAACATGATATCTAAAAATTTAAAACTTGTAATTAACACTCTCAACATTTTAAAAATTGTAGAAATAACCTAAAAAATTTAAAGGCTAAATTACATTTATATACCCTATGTGTTTCGCTCTTGAAACAGTTATATACCCTAAGTTACAAAATATAGCAAAAAAATTACTCTGAGTTGGCAAAAATTTACAAGTTGATACCTTCTATTAACTAGCTGTGAGAATATTTTCTAGAATATTCTCACGTGCTGGACCTATGACCAACTTGAATACTTCTTACCCTTATTTATAGTATTATTTACTGTATTACCTACCTCCCTCACCCCTCACCCCCGCAAATTAGATTATTTTCATCATCTTCTTCTTCTTTTCGTGGCCTCCAACATCTTCTTCCTCTTTAATATGGGTAACGGTAGAAAATAAGAGCTTTCACTATGTGTGTGTGTGGGGGGTGGGGGGTGGGGGGGTTAATTCCTAAAAAGGGGCATTATTGTCCTTTCATGTATTTTTTAACACCATTAGCTAAATTTAAACAGTTACCAACTCAAGGAATTTGTTTGCTATGTTTTGTAACTTAGGGTATATAACTACTACAAGAGCAAAACAATAGGGTATATAAGTGTCATTTAGCCATGTTTAAATTACAAAAAACATTCTAAAATTCAGAGATTTCAAAACTTAGAAACAATATAGATGGATTCCGGGGATTACTATTAGACACATAGAAATTTAAAATTAGTAAAAATAATAATCTTAAAGTTACAGAAGTTACAAAAAATCTCTCAAAAGTAAAAAATTATTAAAAATGTCTAAAATTTTAAAACTTATAACCGGTACACATCAAATTTAGAAATTATCAGCAAATTGCTAAAAAATTAAAATTTTTAAAAAAACAACCCAAAATTTTAGTAATTATAAAAATACCTTTAAATTTTCAGAGTTACGAGAAATATTCTAACATTTAAAAATTTATCACCAATATATGAAACATGAAAATTATAAGCGCCCAACTTAAAATTTAAAATTTTAATAAAATACTATCAAAGTTTAAAATTTTCAAAACACACCCTTAAAAGTTTAAAGCACAAAAATGCTGAAATTTGGCAAAGAAAAGAGGAAATGTTTGATATTATTATATTAAGATATAATATGTTAGCATTAATTGATTATAATATATAAACATTTATCTCTAATATTGATAATATTTATTTATAAAGTAAAAAAATATACAATGAGTTATGAATGGAGAAACTATCAGAAAGTTCAGAGATATCCTTTAAAAGAACTAAGTTGTTTTCATTTCAAATGGAGAAGTGAAGGAATAAACTCAAAATTCAGAAACATCATGAATCACCTGAATTGGTATTGGTAAAAAGCATATCGAGCAAACCAACCGAGTTCTCCTTGAAGAACATATTGAACAATTATGTCCTAATTAAAAAAACATTATTCATGAAAAGTACAAAAAAATTTAGTAAGTACTTATAAATTTTTATAATTTATTCTAAAAATACTGAATGAATCATAAACTTAATATAAAATTTTATATAAATAATCTTGCAATAGAAACTAAGGTGAAGCTATTGATCAACTACATTGTGAGATATAATAAACTAGATAAGATGAGAAAAATCACTATAATTGACAAAAAATATGCACATGATACTTAGTTATCATAGTGTAAGTAAAAAAATTAAAATTGATATTTTTTTTTTCTCTATATAGTGGCACGACTCTGTAAGTATCATTATTTGGGGATATAACTACCAACGAAAGATCAATTTTTAAGAACACGATCAAAGATAAGCATGTAATAGTACTGTCAGATTTCAAGATCTTTAAATATGAAGGTAACATATTTTATAACTAAAATTCTTATTAAAGACCACTAAATATATAATTCATCTTATACATGTCTCAAATTTATATGAAAGATATGCATGTCATCGTAAATTGTGTTAATAATATATCAACTTATTGAAGAAATAAGAGATAAATAAGTTGTAAAATAGGAAAGTGGCGGTCTTTTGGTGCATTTTAGCGGGCGAAAATTTTCCCGCTATTGTGCACCTCTGTCTAGATCTACAATGAGGAAGAAGAAGAAAAATGGGAGCAAGGGGACTCCTAGTGCTACTTTGAGAGATTCTATTTTTGTTTTCCCCTCCTCTTCATATACTCGTAGATCTGAGGAAACAGAGGGAATCGAAAATGATGAGGAAAGCAATGGAACAGTTGAAGCTCGAGAGGATTCGTCGATGGAGCTAATGGGGAGCACAGGTCCGATTGGGGCAAAGAAGAGAGTGCTCATGGAGGAAATACTGGCTAGAACTACCTCTCTCTCTGATCCTGCTCAAGTTCATCTCAGATCTGATTCAACGTTTGCTCGACAACTTAGTAAGAGTCCTAACTCAATCTCCTGGGCTGAAGATATAGAAGATGATTTAAATATCGAGAATGATGAAGATTGTGATGAAATTAATAGCAATGTTGAGATTCTTGCAACTCCTGTAGCTCAATCTTCAAAAAATTATGGGAAAATCAATCTGGAGAAAAAGAATGATGAACTGAAAGATGAGATAGATTTAACAAGGGAAAGTGAAGGAATGAAGAAATCCTTTGCTAGCTTGTTTACAAATAATAGGAAACCTGGAAAAGGTTTATCCCTTAATTTCATACCATCTGATCAATCTAATGCCGCTGTTTTTACTGAAATGGAATGGAGGGAAGGAGTTGATTACTGGAAAAATGCATTAGTAGGTCATGTTATAGGATTGAATGCAAAATTTAAATCCATGGAAGCATATGTAAATAAAGCCTGGGGGAGAATTTCAATTCCAAAAATCATATTGATCAAATCAGGTGTTTTCTTGTTTGATTTCCCATCGGAACAGCAGATGAGAAAAGTGTTGGATGCAGGACCATGATTTTTTGGCTCAAGGCCATTGGTTCTCAAACCATGGTCAATTGACTCTGAAGTGGAAAAAATACAAGATTGTTCTTATCCATTATGGGTGCAATTTCCAAATTTAAAGCTAAACCTATGGAGTGCTACAGGTATTAGCAAAATCTCAAGTCTTATAGGATGTCCAATAACAACTGACATGCTTACAGCAATAAGGCAAAGGCTAAGCTATGCTAGGGTTTTACTAGAAGTGAAGCTTCCCTTAAAAGAGTCATTACCTGACACTGTTGAAATACAAGGACCTGATGGGAAAAAGTATAGGCAAAGTGTCATATATGAACTTAAGCCAAAATGGTGCACAGTTTGTAATATTGTGGGACAAAAAGTATAGGCAAAGTGTCATATATGAACTTAAGCCAAAATGGTGCACAGTTTGTAATATTGTGGGACATGATACTGAATATTGCAACTTAAGCCAAAATGGTGCACAGTTTGTAATATTGTGGGACATGATACTGAATATTGCAGGAGGCAAAGGGGTAGGAAAATGTGGATTCCTGTTAATAGACAGAAGGAAGTTGTGCAGGCACATAATACTGATACGCACAGTGTTCAGGTGCAGGTTACTGGCTTGAATACAAATGCTGAAAAGGAAAATGATGTGCAACAGGTTTTACCTGGTAATGAATCTGCATATGAGGCTCAGAGAAAAGATAACATGAGTAAGGAAGGGTACAATACATCACAGCAACTAACTAAAAACATGCACAGATTAAAAGACAAGGGTAAAGCTATAGATAACAGCTCACCAGGTACACAAGGCATAAAGCATGGTAGCCCATGTCTTACAAATGTATATCAATCCCCAGCTGTGAATGCATCAGGATTCACAAGTGTGAGTAGAGCTCATATTGCTAGAAGAACAACAATCAACATTGCCGGGAATTCAAATTAGAAAACTCAATTCTCCCCACTAGATCCTCAGGTATATGACTTTGACCCTTGTTATATTGACAGGGGGGAATCAATAAATGCATTTAGCCATTTGGAATATTAGAGGTTTTAACAAATCCTCTAAGCATTTAATTGTAAAGCAATTCATATATCAGTACAATATTCCCTTTATAGCTCTTTTCGAAACAAAACTAAAGGAAGGAAAGATGGAGCATATTGCCAGAAAATTTACTAGAGACTGGAATTGGATTTCAAATGTGCAGGAAGCTGGTAATGGGAGAATCTGGATACTCTGGAACAATGATTTAATGACAGTTCAAAGTATAAGCACAACTGATCAATGCCTGACTTGCTTTGTTCAATTGAAAAATGGAAAAGTATCATGCCTAATATCTGTGATTTATGCCTCAAATCAAAGGGAGAATAGGAAAAAGTTATGGCAGGATCTTCTGGAAATCAAACAAAATGTTAACTGCCCTTGGTTGGTTGGTGGAGATTTTAATGCAATCATTAGTG